TGGTCCGCCAGTCAATTGGCTACTCAAGACTTAAATAGTTATAATTGTTGAAAAGTACCAAGATTGAATTAATCAACTGATAGCATGAAGTGATTGTGCTAACAATAATTTCTGATAATTTTTTTTGTCTCATTTCTGACAGTTATACATGCGCAAGTTCTAAGCTTAAGCTAGCGAACTTTTTAGCTTAGCATTTTGTCTCATTAGCTAAAAGTAGCAGTCCAGTTAATGTCAATGAAATAAGAAATAAATGGCCATCTGGCAACATTATTGATCAGAAAAAGAGAATTTCAAGATTAAAGTTAAAAATTAAGGATACTTTGTACACTACTTAAAACAGTATGTAGTTGTTTTGAGGTAGCAAGCGTGTTGTAGATCTGCAATTCCCATTTTCCTGTTTTAAGTGGTCTGTCAGCGAATTTATTTTTTGAAAACCACTAAGTGAAAGAGCTTCAGAAGAAAAAACATGGGATACTGGTGAAATTTAAGTTTATGGTGAGTCATATCTTTAAAAGTTCCTCCAGTTTTAATTACGCAATGTCAGTATTCTTCACTTTCAGCCATTTAATCAGTGACTGATGACTTATAAAACCATTAAAGACTTATCTAAGCATGTACATGCCGTGTACAGTGAGCTCAATGAATATAAAGCTCTTGTATTTTATGCTCGTATACCTAATTATATCAAGTAACTGTATGTATAACAGATACCACATGCTAAAGCAAAAAAATAAAAGAACTATTAGCATACACTACTAAAAAACAAATTAAAAACCAATCAGTTCCTCTTTTTTTCCTTTTTGAAAGTCAGCTACTGTGTGGAGGATTACAAACGAAAGCTGCAACTGAGAAGCAAAACTGCTCATTAGCATAGCGAATCTCTCCCAGAATTCATCCGTGTTGACGGGACAAAAGTCAAAAGTGTTCAACAAGCTCTCTGCATGTACTGGAATGACATTTCTGTGGGTTAGCTCCCAAAACACAGTATGAAATAAGAGCAAGCAGCTGTCTCTTACTGCGTCCAGATGGCGGCAGAACGTATGTAAATTGCCTCATTAACCTTACAGCACTTAACTACCGGGCTGCGCTGATGGTTCGGCCCACACGGGCATTTTATTAAAGAACATTAATAGCATCAGGCAGCAATCACCACTGCCTGAGGTGATTTGCTCTGGCATTATCAAACACTGTAATAATTATACATGACAACCTCCTGATTAATGCATTCATGAATATTACAACGCTGCATTATCTTTAGCTGCGCCCTCCGTTTTTAAACCATGAACTTCAAGGGTGTTTTAACAAATACTACAGGATAAGTACGTTCTTCCGCCCACCCTTGCAACCCTTTTGGCCTCAGCCACACCTCTTACAAACAAAAAATAAAAGATGGGGGAAAAAAGCCATCATGCAACATTACCCCCAGCCCTTCCGAGTGTGTGTGTGTGTGTGTGTGTGCAATGAACACCGTGGAGAACCGACCTGCACCTGGAGCACAGAGGAGCACGGCACAGGTCAAAGGTCAAGCCTCCAAGAGACTCTGACTAAACAAGCCTCCACTCCTTGCTCTGAAAAGGCCAGACAACCCCTGTGGTTGCAGCTCACAACATGGATCTTTTCGTCCTCTCTTTTTTCTCCTTCCCTCGCTGTCTTTTTCCTTTGGAGAGGCGCGTTAATCCATAATCACTCAAACGACCAGGAGCTCAATTATGCACCAGTTTCTCCATTTTCTCTTGACACATAAAGATCTAAAAACAATTAACCTCTAGCCGGCAACGCGTTTTCACACTGAGCGCAAGAGGAATAAGTCAAGAACCCTCCATTCAAATTCCACCCCATAATTCAGCGAGCATAAATATTATTACATATTTTCTTTTAATGCTAGGCTGCAAGGTTTAAGCTTAGCTGACATAATGGATGGTATTTCTATACATGCCAAATTGAAATTGTGTATGTGTGCTACATAAGATGATATACCTTGGAGGGATTGATGTACGTATGGATTACTTTAACTTCTAATGGTACTGATACTGTTTGACTTGTCAAGGTTTAATTTTTGTTAAAGTTTTAAGGGGGACAGTTCACCCCAAAATTTTAATTCTGTCAAATTCTGTATGAATTTCCCTCTTCTGGGAAAAAAAAGGAATATATTTTGAATTAGTTTGATGACCATTTTAATTTTAAGCTGAATTATTCCTTTAACCATCTTAGACATTTAAAACGACATGTTCACGCCAATATTCAGATATGAGTTTATTGTTTTCCATTAACTTCTATTTTGGCCCTTCAAAATAGTCTCTTAAAAATTCCAAAAGTGGGGTTTCTCAGTGACGTCATAGTAGAACCATTTTTGGTTTCCCAAAGAACCTTTCATTGAACAGTTCTAAAAAGAACCCCCTTTCTGAATGTGAAGAACATTTTAATACTCTAAAAAAAAACATTTTCCACTATAAAGAACTTTGTGTGTAATGCAAAGGTTCCATGGATGTTAAAGGTTCTTCATAGAACCATCTGTGCCAATAAAGAACCTTTATTTTAAGTCTTTGTGATGAGCAAAAAAAAAACATCTATTAAAAACACACTTGATATCTATATCTACAATGTGAACTGCTATACGATTTTCCCCTCAGCAGCTCAAAAACGTTCGCTCAAACGGAGTCAATGGGTGTGACACTAGGGAGAACTCGCGCCCATGGCCTCTCGCCCAAGCCGTGCAGTTCTCTACGTGAGGCTGTCTGATTGTATTGAGCCCTTTAGCCCTCAATAAACACTCTTCCTCTGTCAGAGGGTCTCTGTGGCCTCCTATTCATGCGCAGGTAGAATGCCTAAAGAACGCGTGAGAGGAGAGAAAAAAACAGCTTGTTGCTTCTATTGAACCTTTTATTACGCCCCTTCAAAGGCTTATGGCAGAGGAGGAGAGCGAGAAAGAAAGGATCTGCCGTCTACTTAGTGCCATTGTACTCCCAACATGTCGGCTCTGAGCTCTGTGAGAAAACACAAGCAGACTTCATCCAAAATATCGCACGTCGAGCAAATCAAAGTGCACTAGCTAGAGACAAAATGGCGATTTTTTGGGAAACTGATTTCAGGAAGCACGTTTCTATGAAAATACAAGGAAACAGACGCTAATGTAAGCCAAATGTAATGATTTTCAAATGTGCGAGTAATATTCCGAGTTTTGCGTGTGTAAAGCAGCAAAACATATAAAAATGTAATTTTTAAATTAATAATAGTTTTTTTTAACACATCAGTATCCAACTTCTCATTAAATCATATATGAATCCTGCACTGAAATCAAAACAAACATTAAAATGAATTGTGCCCCCCAATTTTTTTAATTAATTTTGTTAGTTTAAAAGCTATTTATGTTAAGTCTGTTGACTTTAAACAGTCCTCAAAATAATTCTTAGGATTAGGATACTGTGCAAAAATCCTACGGCTTTCCTCATCGCAACATTCATTCTTGCATTATTACGCCTCAGTTTATGTAATTTCAGATGAGGTAAACCTAATCTTACACAGACAAAGCACTTAAACAAGCTGAAAATCCAACGCAGAACCAAGAGTCACAAAACATGCCTAAAAAGAAATCTTAGCCTTTTTTTAAGCACACGAATACTGTAAGTTGACAGGTCTTGTACGGTAAAGTAAAGCCTGATATGCAATTTTGAACAGCACGGTTGAATAAAGACTCCCGCTTACACACACACACACACACACAAGGAGACATTGTTGTTCATGCTTCTCCTCGCATGTGTGCCAGACTTCTTTCTCCCTGGTCCATACATTGCAGAAGAGTTGGCCCCTCATATACTGCATACTGGCCCCCAACATTGCATGCCGGCCCCTTGATTAAGCAGGGCAAAAGATGCAAGGGGAAAAAACAGAAGAAGAGACAAAGTAGTGAAAAAAGAGCGAAAACAACTGGCAGGCATCCAGACTCATGGGGACTGCGTTGATCATTATGTCTAGCCTTCAGGTGTCTGAGCCGGCTGTGTTTTGGGGGGAGGTGTGGTTACCAAAGAGGCAGACAAAGAGAAACTCGTTCACCGGGATCAAGAAAGCGAAGAAGGGAGGGAGGGTACAGAGAGAGGGAAAAAAACGAGAAAACGCTATAAAAATTTGATTAGACGATCCTCCACTGAAGTGACTTTCTGTGTTCTCCTGCCTTTTTTTTTTTTTTTCAAAGCATCGCCCCAGAGAACAGGACAGACTGATTTTTTTTTTTTTTTTTTTTTACAGGTCCTAATTAAAAACATCTGAAGACCCTCAGACATCAAAGTCTTGCATTGCAATCTAAATGAGTCTTTTTTTCTGAACTCAGGTTTCTTGATAGCCCAGCTCTCAAGATGTTATTTTAATATTAATACAAGCATTATTTATATTTATGAGCTGCATTTAAACATGCATATGGAAGTCTGCATATGATTAATGAAGAAAAAAACCAAACACACAACTGCTTGACACAGGTCACCGGCTGTCACAACTTTACAACACGAGTCAAATTGAACAAAAATTTAACAAAAACAGACAAAATGTCGAAGATTTTCACATGGGATGATAATAAATCTTTGTATATTTAAAATAAAAATGCAATATTTTCAACAAAATATCATTTTTGAAATACATTTATTGTTTTAATTACTAACTGAACATGTCAGTGATTTTAAGCTGATTTAGATTAGGTTGAAAATACGTTTTATAATATAATAAAGGTGTGTTTCACAAGAATCAGAATTAATAGAATCATCACAATCATATTAAAAAAGTTCAAGCATGCGTGAATACACAAAATCGACAGTAGCCTACTATAAAACAGTGCTCTAAAATAATAATTTTTAATTTCTATCATAATTAGCTTTCTCAAAGGTTTGTTATTCCAGAATCCGTCTTTAAACATCAAAGCAAAATCTTATTTAAACTCTGAGCGACTACGATAAACATCTAACGCATCTTGCAAAGTGTTTTTCGTAGAATAAAAAAGTAATATCGATACTAACCATTCATTCTGCTCTAGACGCCGGGTTCCTCTTGCGTTCGTGGGGAAACTCCGAGCGGTTACAGTAAAAACTGCTGCTGCTTCTGTTGAGAGAGCGCCGCGTTACCTTTGCGTTTAACTTCTGATTCCTTTGCGCGTCTCGCTTCCTGCGCAGTGGGAAGAGACCAGAGCCGCTGCGTCGCGTCATCAGCAGGGAGCCGCTCCTATTGGCTGAACGCGTGCACATTGAGAACGCTGCTCTTTGTTCCATTGGGCGCACGCGGAGGGAAAGACGCTCCTCCTCGCTGAGTTCTGTGCGCAAGAATGCGTGAGAAGAAAAACGGGGAATGTCTTCTGATGTCTGAGGTCAACGCTGCTTCAAAGCTCCTGGAACCAAAAAAAAAAAAAATGCATCAGTAAGAATCAGCTATTGGTAGTTTGGTTTATTTTTTGCTTATTGATAATCGTCTGCATTACTGATAAAAATCCTGCTTTCGTGCATTTTAAATAGCTACACATATCAAGTGTTTATAGTATTCAAATTTATTAAGCAATTAAATTATAACATGCATTTGCAATATGTTTTAAACGGAATAAGCTAAATATTCAACATAGTCAATGATGTTTGCATGGACAATTTCAGTAAACACTTTTAACTCTCTGAGGAAAAAAAAACCGTTTCTTTTTACTTCAAAACAACACCGTATACATTTTATTGTTTAATATAAAAATGAAAACTATTACCAGAAATGTAATGTAAAATTAAAGCTTAAAGAAAAAAAACGACAACTCTAAAACCATTACCTATTGTCAATCAAAATATAATTTTATATTATATGTTAAGGCAAATTAATCAAATAAGGTTAACCAAAACAGGTTTAGGATTGAAATTTTTTCCCTGTTAAAATGACCTTTTACAGAATACAACCTTTCTAAGAATATAATAACTTACAATCACATTTTTATGTACAGTATTTGCAATAGAAGATCATATAATATATTATTTGGGGCACCACTTTCATCATAAATGTTGAATTTATACTATCAAGAGGCCCAGAAAATGTTTAGATCAGAAAGGCTCAAAAGTAAATCTCCTCATGGTGGAAACATCACTTCCTGAATGGTAAAAAAATGACTTTTTGTCAAACAAAGGGGTCACCATGCATCAGAAGGATGTAATATATCCTGCAGTAAAGGGGACTTTAATAATATCAATTTCTTAAGACTGACATGTTCTTTATAAGATCCCTTTATTTGTGTATCTAGCACTTCTACTAACATTTAACCTTTACTCACTGAGCTTTTTAATTGGGTGAACGTACCAAATACACACAGTATTGACCAAGAATTCTTTGGGATGCTTCATATCACCCCCGTTCTCCACAAAACGAGTGCTAATCACTGGCAGTCCAGCACAGGCGGCTCATTCGGCTCTGAAATGCTCATGCGAAAGGAATATTTCAGCCTCTGTCTTTCTCTCCGAGTGGCTTGGAAAACCAAAGGCCTAAGGTATGTTGGGAATATTAGAGCGTGCGTAATGCGGGTGAACATCCTCCCTGCACGGATGCAGCATTAAATCAATATTCTGCAAAGCTTCCCCATCTTGAGTTATTCACTTGACTGCTGTCATGATCCACCACGTGGGTTGTGCAGTTGTTTTCTGATTTTTGTGACGCCCCCTCCCTCTCTCTCTCTCTCTCTCTCTCTCTCTCTCTCTCTCTCTCTCTCTCTCTCTCTCTCTCTCTCTCTCTCTCTCTCTCTCTCTCTCTCTCCCTCATCTGAATGGCCCACCACCTTCATGCTTTGATAGTTCTGCAAGAGAAGAAAAAAAGTGTCTGATGACATATTTTTGTCTTTCATTACGTGTGACAGCCAAAAAAGGCAAATCCAACAGCTGATTAGCGTACATTAGCATTGACAGGCATTTGAATCGAACCGCACCTGCTACTGGCAGAACGATGATCCGTGTTTGTTTTTTTCACTCTCAGAATTACGTGTTTCTCATGTTGGTTGGTTAGCTCTGGGTATCCGCTGTAGCATGTGGTGTCAAAAGCATTCCTGCTTTGGAGATGTTTACCAGAACTTAGCTTTGCATTTCCTTTCAAGACTTAAGCCTCTTTAAAATTGCAACTAAACAGATCACATAGGCTACTGTAGAGTTAGCGAGCAGAGTCGAAAATGAACACTCCATCATACCTGCTAATGAATAGAGAACTTTCCAGGCATTATTTTTGGCCATGTACTTTTTTCAGTATATATATATTTTAGGGCTGCCCTCGACTACAGATTTTTCTAGTCGACTATTAGTTGTTCATTTAAGCGATTAGTCGACTAATCGCACGTGTATAAGCCATAAATAAGCCATTAATTGTCTATACACAGCCTAATCAGCGCTCAAGCGTACACATAAAGCTTGCCACAGGCCACCGGCAAAAGTAATGATTATGAATTTGTTGTGAAAAAAACAGCAAGGAGACTGTCTGAACATTTTAATAATTTATTGATAATGTTTTCGGTTGCAGAGATTAGGTCGACGGTGCGTACTCGTCATCTCCACAGAACAGTGCACGCACATATGCACGTTTCATAACATAATCATTAATTGATTTGATTAATTGATTAATTGATTTGACAGCACTATACAGTATATAGACTTCTATGTTAGATGCGATTAATCACGAATAATCGATTTGACGGATGCATACACACACACACACAGACTTTGATGTTATATGCGATTAATCGATTCGACAGCACTAATATATATATATATATATATATATATATATATATATATATATATATATATATATAATTTATGTGATTTATGATTTAGCGATATTTTTGCATATTAGAGCCAGTGCAGGTTATTGCATCATACACTGTTCTCCACAGAACAGTGCACGCACATATGCACGTTTCATAACATAATCCTAGAATATTTGTATTTCATTTGAATCTGTTCATTTAAAAATAGACATTTCAAGCTTTCGATAGATGCATTTCTCATGCATGTGAAGAAAGTTCACGCTGAGTTTCGGTTTATTTTTGGACACACTCAAGTTCACAGAGGCCGAGACGGCAGAAAGCGCATCCTTATTTTACAAAAGCACAACGTTTAGTTATTGTGAGTGAGTAAATAAAATGAGTCATTTTCAGATGATGTATTCTGCTACTCTTGATGTAAGACCAAAAAAGACTGAGTATTTTAAGTTAAATGCCAGTGATCACGCCGGCGCCTCCATGTCATGTGTGCTATACTTCAGCTTCCACACTCCGCACAAACACTTGGATATGCACCTAATAATAGCGGACATTTATCTAGGTTAGAGCAAGCGGCCATGTAAAGTTGCTACTTACATGTTTCAAATGATAATGCATTTTTGATGATGATAGGCAAATGTTTGGATTTTCTGCCTAACATACTGTTATAACAAAGAACCCGCTGTTAACAATCTGTCCCTCACTGACTACTTGACTTCGCCATGAGTTTTTGTATATAGTATAGTACAGTATATATATATATATAATATATATATATATATATGTGTGTTTGTGTGTGTATTAGTGCTGTCAAATCGATAAAAGTATGTGTGCATAAAAAAACATAAGTATGTGTGTGTATATATATATATATATATATATATATATATATATATATATATGTGTGTGTTTATGTACACACATTATGTATTTACAAACGTTTCTGTTAGAAAAGAGGTTTAGATGTGATTAATTGATTTGACAGCACTAATACAGTATATATAGACTTCTATGTTAGATGCGATTAATCACGATTAATCGATTTGACGGATGCATACACACACACACACACACAGACTTTGATGTTATATGCGATTAATCGATTCGACAGCACTAATATATATAATAATTTATGTGATTTATGATTATTTAGCGATATTTTTGCATATTAGAGCCAGTGCAGGTTATTGCATCATACATCATAAACATGCATCTGTCAGGAAAATGTGATTTTTTTTGGAGGGGGTTTTGCGAAGAATATTCCACATATGTGAGCTCTAGATAAAAAAACATATTTTATAGATCATAGACAAAGTCCCTATGGGGGAAAAGGACATTTAAAAAAGATACAGTTCAATATTGCAGCTGCTAATAAAGCTATATTAATTAATAGCGAAATCTACTTAGGCCTATTTCCGTTTGGACCCCAGTTGTAACATGATGCATCAAGGTTAATTTGAAACAATTCGGATACTAAAAGGTAATTTTCTGTAAAAGAGAGTGTATAATTTATAGCAACAGTAGATGATTTTGTTAAATGAGTAAATATTATTTTGATAGGCAAGCTGTGAAAAAGCTGTTGCCTGTGAAGTGTCTGTAGCAGCGCCACATTTAAAGCTGCATTTAAAATGGCTGCCTAAGCTAGCATCATTTCCAGTTAATAGTCATGTATCATGTCAAGGAACAGGCTTGTGCAAATTTATTAAGGATATATTTTACCAGTAATCTCAAATCAGCATCACAGTCATACTCGGAAGGGCCTTCTTGCTTTCATTTTTATTCACTCAATGACGGCTTGTCAGTTATGTGTCACAATATCCTGATGCAGGTGTGTGTGTGTGTGTGTGTTTTTGGAGGGGGCAACAAATCAACAAACAGAATTCAAAATAAAAGAAGATCAGCAGCAAAGCGTTCAGCTCATCACAAATGAGCAAAATCTTATCTTTGTTCCACTCCTAAATTTAGACTGACGTTTTGCAATGCTTAGCATAAATTGTAGAGAGCAAAGAGGATTCAGAGAACCGTTAATGCATGATGATTTAGGTCTAATTTTAGCCTTAGCTCTGATGCAAGGACGTAAAACATCCTTGCCCGCATAGGCTTCAAAAGATATTTCTTGCTTCATTTTTAGACTTTTTTGGAAGCACAATAATAATGTTCCACTTTCTACAATGTGTGATTATCACCTTTAAAAACTAGTGCACATATTTATGAATATTAATGTTCAAGCGGGCACGTATGTGTGTGCGTGTGTGTGTGTGTTTGCAGTGGCAATGCATACATGAATTGCATTATCTTGAGCTGCAGCATAGGTTTCGTGCTATATGCATCTTCCCTTTGAGAAATATCTAGATATCTGGAACTAAAATTAGCAGTTTCATATTTCAAATAAACCTCAGTTCTTTCAATGGAAACAATGTGAAAGGGAATTAAAAATATGAATGCAAAAAATGGTGGATCTCGTTTATATACTGTACACAGGGCCGCATTAAGAG